GTAGACTAGTAGCACTGATGCACGAGGTCTCCGAAGGCGGACCGGCCGTACAGCATCACACGTGGAGACGTTACTCTCAGCATCATCGCACGCCGTCCTCGGCTTCTACCACGGAAGACGACGATTCTACTTCTGATTCTACCAACGCGCCTTCCTCCACGCATTTGCAATTACCCAGATCGAAATCGCACGATCCTTTGTTACTGATCAACAGTCACCCTGCTGCGTCCACAGGACAGGAGGGCGAAGAACGCGAGGCCAGTGACTATGAAAGGTTCTCATGGAGAGGCAGTTTCGAGTCCGCGTTGATGGCTGCAGACTCGAGGACGAAGTTAAGCCTGTTGGCTTGTTCCGGGGACAGTGTCGGTGGTGCCAGTGCTAGTGCTAACGCGTTGGCCATGGCCGCGAAACGTCGCAGTGCCGGAGATCTGTTGTTCAATCCCAAGAGCTTCTCCAGAGAACAGTTGGACAGGGTCAGGAGTTGTGGTTCTATCGGAGGTGGAAGTGGTGGTGCCACGAGTGCTTGCGGAGGCTCCGCAGAAGAGAGGATTTGGAGTAACCGGAGAAGATCTTCCGTGCCCGACGCTAATACCCGAGGCGAATCAGGTAATTGAATTTCATTCAAACTATTCTTGTATTTCATGTATAAAAATGAAATTTAAATAGTTCTAATGAATCGTCTCTCAACCTACATTTCACTAATCAAACGATTATAAATTTACAATTTGAATATCCACCATAAAATAATATTAAGTAGTACGAGTCAGTGCCTCGGCACACGCGATTCTGGGTTGATCTACAATTTTACGGAAGACGAAATATTGACGTCCACAGGTGACGAAGACACCGAGGACGAGCTCGAATACGCGGGTGAATCCCGAGCGACGACGCTTCCTCGGGGAATGCAGTCAGCGATCACAGCAGCGACGAATTCGCTGCCTCGATTGCCGGCGTCCACCGCGCCGGCCAGCCTGACGACGACCTCGACCACGTCGTCGATGCACAAGGCTCACAGCGTGTACCATTTCCTGCCGCAGCACTCCGGCGTGAAATCGGCCAGGTACAGACCACCGGGTTTCGCCAGGAACAGCAACGTTCCCGGATCGATCGGACCGAAGCGTGCACTGAGCGCTCCAGGACTTCAGGTTTCTGGTTCCCAGTCTTCTGGGAAACGAGAAAATTCGAGGTCGAGGAGACAGCAGGCTATGTCTCTCACGCCCGGTGAGTCGATATTTCTGTACATAGCTTTACGAAACGAGTATAACTCGTCGTGTTTGTGAGAAAAGTTGAAAGGAGTTTTGAACTGCTTTTCCTTGTACTCTGATAAATCATGGTAAATAACGTAAGACATGTGGAAACGCTACGAAGCCGAGAAAAATGAAGATTAATGAATATGCGATTGGCTGAGTAATTAAGAAAGAAAATCTGCAAGAACTTGTTTATTCGTGGCTTGCTAGAAAAAGCAACACGTTGTACACGTTAATTGAAGCCTAGCTAAAGTGAAAATTTCATTATACTCGTACGAGATAGAACGATAAAACCGCTATAACGCACAGGATGATTTTTTCTCAGATAATTCGCACAATGCCGGCGTAACTTTTATTCGCCTCTAAATAAACAATCACCTTGCGCGCTGATACCGGCTTAAGGATGTATTGGCTATACAGTCAATCCCAAAAGTTTATGCACTTTAGAAA